CGATCATGAGATGATCACTTTCTTCCTCTTATTGATCTGAATTATCCTCGCTTAATCTCTACGTCAAATCTGATTGATATATTAGGTTGTCCCGAAATTAATGCCGGTTTCAATGTCTCATACTTTATTTGATATTTTTCCGAGAAATTTCCATACGATTGCTGTACTATTGCATATCGTTGGAAAGCCCATTTCATTCTCTTTCTTGCACGGCCATTGTATTTTGATGGGACTCGGGCCTCACTTTTTTTAAAGGTTTGAAGTGAAGGCGTCAAAGTAGTGGTTTGAGCAGGTTCACTTCTATGAGTTGAAATTTGGAGAGGGTGCTGTGCGGACAGCTCGGAATAGGATTGCTGTGTGGGGCTAAGGATGTTGCAATAAAAGCACACTGCTTCGATGGCTCCGAAGCTTTCAAGTTAGGGAAATCTAGATTCGAAGTGAGGGGGTTACGGACGACATTCTCCTCTTGACGGCGGCCTTCTGAAGACCCGGCAGAAGAAGATTTCCAAACAAGTGTACGGCAGCCAGCAGCATAACCTTGAGCAAGCATACTGAAATTTTCGGAGCGCCTGAAGGTACTTGGGAAGGTAAGAAAGCTGGACAAGTGGGTACCGCATGAACTGACTGAGCAGCAGCAAAGTCACCTTGCAGGGATCTTGGCACAACTTTTTTACTCAACAAAAATGTCCGACTCTGGAACTTTTCGTCATCCTCGACGGAAATAGGACCCTTCGCTATAGAATAGAGCAATTTTCCAAAAATCTAAACAACTACGAACATCAAAAACTTTTTCCAAAGTAGAATTTCTACAAGGTGAGGACCATGCTGATGGTTTCGTGGCCTTCCGGAGTAATGATGCATCGCAGCTTTCTGAACCCAGGTGATTTTGGTAGAGCATCAATGTCTGTCCATAACATCGATATAATGCTCCGTAAAGAGCAAGGCCTCTAACCAGAAGAAGGAAAAGAACTGTTCTCCATGTTGACGCCCAGCCACATGTCGCACAAAGGTCTTCGTAAGAAAGGGATAAATCAACCTATCCAGCTTTGCTTCTTACAGTGCATTCGCAGGATCTCACCCTCACCAAATTCCTGTTTTCCGGCAATCACGAC